CCCCCCCCCCCACGCCCTACCTATAGCCAGTCAACATCACGCAGATGAATCATGCATCCAACTAAATCTTGGATTGGCCCAGTAAGATGAAGACACAGTTCACAGATTTATTCATGCCTCCCAAAATAGGTGGGATAGGGAAAAACAGACAACAAAAAAACCCAACACATGACTTGCGTTTCAATGTGTAATTAAGACACATGAACCGCGCACCATCTCACTCTATGGCATGGTGTGGGAGATTGTTATATGGGAATTGGAACACAAGTTCACACACCCCCTCCCCCTCTTAGTACCCCGAATGAGGACAATCACACATAAGTAGAGAGAACGTACAATAGGCTCAGAGGTACCAGGTAAGTTGGCTACAGTTTGTGGTTTTGTGGGAACTTGATAGGCATAAGGAGATCGCCCAGTGCCTGGAGGAGGTTGTTGGGGCGCTGGAGCTGGAGGCTCGATACGGGTCAATTGTTGAGTTGATTGTTGATGGGCTATGGAAGAAGCAGATGTGGAGCCATGACCGAATGACTGACTTGTATCCAGTGGATTTGAGGAGTTGAAAGCGCTCGTTGCAGCTGCGGCAGCAGGTGGAACAATGGGAGGCGCGTAGGAGGAATTTAAACTTCGATTACCGTAATGGGAAGGGGTGGATGGAGGAACAGAAAGGCCATATACATTAGCATAGGGAGAAGTATCTTCGGCAAAGCTGTAAGGATAAAAAAGAGAATACCAAAATGTGTTTGATAAAAGAAGTACTACCAATGCACGAATAGGAACGTGCGAAGCTAACATGAAGTCATCATGAGAAATGTTTATCCCATTGGCCTTCTTGTTGGCTTGAACTGACCAGTACGGTTGGCAATCGGTGAGCATCGACTTAGCCGAGGTACGTATTGACCTTGGATCTTCATAATGCAATGGTAAGGCCCACCCTAGGACTATGTCGGAGACCAACAACACAGCTGTCAAGGGGTCCAACGAATTACACCTTAGTCCTTAAGCCAATGAAAAACATTCGAAAATGAATAATAGATACCACTCTAAACCACTTTCCTCCTTTCGCAGTCAAATATTTAAGAACTAGTATAACGAATATGCGCTTAGGAGAATAGCCACTAAACTAATCCCCAGAAGAGCATGATGCCCATTAGAGAAATCTTCTTATCAAACATATGCATTCATGAACACCAAAATTTTTCACGTTTCCATCAAATGGGATCAACGAAATAGCTCACTTTGGAACTATGGTGGGCAGAGTGAAAGAATACAACTCCAAAATCCTGAAGACTAAAAAAGAGGAAACGCACCATGCCACGAGAAATATACCAGTAGCTCGAATTAAACTAGTAACTAAGGAAGGTGAAGCACTTGGCGCATTGACACGATGAAGTGACCAAACCTGTCTCATGAAGTAGTGTCTGAATAACACGTTTTTCAGTTAAAAGAACACATCGATTCAAGGAAATAACCGCAAATCCTGTGAAACTATACTGAACTAAAGCCAAAGATCTTAATAAGCCCAACGAGTAAAGCCACAAATATGACTTTTTAAACAAATAGGTTGAAATAAGCGGCTTACCTTGCCCGTCTTTCACCCGACCCATAAATCTGTCGATGGGAGTAAGATGGTGTGTTCGGATAGACACCAGCTCTAGCGGGAGGTGTAAACTAAAATAATGATAATAATTTCTCAACAGAATGACAAAAGAATAATTTCAGCAAAAGCACGAGACAAACCGGAGAAAAAGGGAAAGGATAATGTACACTCTGTTGTTGATACCCCCCAGTAGGCAAAGGGGCCTGGGTGTTACCAGCAGTTTGAGCTGCACTATGATAGGATGGTACATTTGAAGATGGTTGAGAGGTAATAGTTGGAGAAGGTTGTGAGGGAACAGAAGAAGAACCGCCCAAACTTCCAATGCTGCCAGAACGAGCTGCGGGTGAATTAGTATCTACATTTGAATCAGTGGCTGAAAAAGAGGGCAAAATAAACAGCAAAGAAATGACATTAACGTGGAAATAAGGACCACATACCTTCTTTCTTTACAACAGGGGGTTTATTAGGTACAAGGGGAGAAGATTGAGCCGAAGACTTCTTGCCATAAGAATTTGAGGGATTATCTCCAGTAGCAGCACCATTTGACTTGTATAAGCCTAAAGAAAGACAGCCTAGATGTGGGGCTAAAAAGCAGGACCTACTCTTTTCAATGGCTTCACGAAGTGCAAAAGTAGAAGCTATGTCGGGTGTAATAATGTTTGAAAGACTTTGGGACGTCGGATTTGTCGCTGTAGAAGAAGTAGGATTGATCCGTTTAAGTTGTTGTTGTTGATTGTAGGAAATAAGGGAGAGGGCATGAGTTGAATGACCATTGACAAATCGATTTCTGATTAGGTGAAGAGCCAGCTGAAGGAGGGAAGAAAATTCCCCACCAACGACTGTTTGAGCGTACTCAGTAACAATACGAATCGCATCGATTATCGTGGACCCTTCCACACCGAGAGCAGCCCGCACTTCCTGATCGTCAATTGAAGTTGTTGAAGGCGGACCACTACGATAAGGATCACTATTTGAGGAATTGGAGAGCTCGAGAGTTAGGTCGGGTAGGAGAGGCGCTTGAGTATCCCTTTTCTTGCGCATTCCACCATAGCAGTACCTGGGAAGAAAAGAGGGGGTAGTGAAGTAAACAAAAGGTGCTGGTAGCGACGACATGAAACAAGGGAGAGGGGGGAGGTGAGGGCATTAACTGGAACAGTACTTGGATGTGCAGGCTGCTTTGTGTCTACCGCCTTATGCATAAACAGGATTTGTGTTTATTCCAATTCCCATACGAACATGAGTTATAAAGGGAATTGATGTAACGAATTGCAATACTTTTGCATTGTCCCGCTGAATATCACTGAGTAAAAAGACAAACAAAACACCAACGATGCAGCGATTGGCATGCATGTAGGCGTATTAGGGTCATGGAATCAATAAACTTAATAGTGGACCCGGTGGATGCCATGACCGACCGCGTTGTCGAAGATGAACAGAACTTGAGTTCCCCACTAAATGTTGGAAAACGCCTTCCTAGGTGGATTTGGAGTTATAAGGGCTGTAATACTGTTAGTGTCATATATGAGGAACATTCTAAAAATGAACACTATATTTTCATGATCAGGAATGTGGCATTATGGATATGGATATACTCGGAAGTTATAGAACACAAAGACGCGCACTTATTAGATGGGTTCAATGCAATACTTAGTAGTATGGGTTTGGGCAAAGTTCTAACTGTTCAAAATTAGCCCACAAAGGCACATTTGCCCAGAGAAATGGAGACATGCTATAAATATTTTGACTGCAAATACTAATGCCCAGACAAATAAGAACAGTCGACAAAACAAAAACCGATGACGCCGAGAAAAGGCTTGAAACTTTTCAAGTAACATCCATGCTTAAAATATGATAACTGACGTTTTTAACTCTTTCCCATTTACTACAAAACCGATGTAAATCGTCATAAACGGAATTTACGGATACATACGATTCAAACTGGGTGGAGAAACTGAGAAAGCAAATACAGTTGCAAGAGAGCTATATACAAACATACGCACCTAGATTGACCTCTTTGACCTAACCGGCGTGGGCGCACATTAGGAAAAGCTCGTTTCATGACTTTACCAAAATCAGCAGTATTGAGAGGCTTCATACGTTGCTGTTCACAATAATTCCTATTTGGAAAAATAAAGCACTGATTAAAAGCATTAATTAACCACCAAACGTGCAAGATAAAACGGACTTGTAATCTTCATAAACTTCATCCTTTCGCAAACAAGTGGTTGAGTCTTCTTCCAAATGAGACTTGATCCAGGTAAAAGCGTAACCCTGTTCCACTTGATTTGAAACTTGGAAAGTGGATACACTGAAAGTCCCGGCGGTATTACTTTCAGCACCACTGTCATCGTCAAAAAGACTGGATTGACCAGCGACAGCGGAATCCGTCATAATTTTCAAGAGACACACAAGCTTTTCATCGTTATTTAGTGACAAGAAATTATTTAAAACCCCATCTACACGAGCTTGCGATTCGGGGGAAAGAGTATTTTGGAGATTGGTCTCGAATTCTCCACACAAGCTTTTTACATTAGGCTCGCTTACGGATACCATTAGAGGCTATTAATAATAAGTAAAACCTTCGAAATATAGCCGCAGGAAACAAGCAGCCATCAAAGCAAGACACAACTGTCTAATCAAGCGAATTTTACAAGGGTAGCCCAACCTGAAACTTTCAAACAAATTAGAAAAATATAGAATGAGAAGTAATTTAATATTTTTAGACAATTTTAAATTTAAATAAATATTAATAATGTTTAAACTAACATTCACCATCGTTTACATGTAAAATTGTCTTTAAGATTTATGTTATAAAATGTATTTTAAATATATGGTAAAAGTACAGCCCATTTTTTAAGCATTTCAAGCTATAAATTACCATTATTTGTTTGAAATCATCTTTTTTATGAGTTACGTAGCGAGAATAATATTAAGTGTTCAAGATCGGTTTTTGCTACTAAGGTTTTTAATAGATTTAGCTCACATAACCAATAGCTCTAAAGAATGGAAGACTGTGAGCCCTTATAAGGATATACGGGTGTTTGTTTGTTCCCGAAATTTGTCTTTAATGACTTTCATCTCAGATTTCTCAAGCAGCTTTTAGATTTCAGCAATACAAGAGTCAGTGTTAAAACGTAATGAAGGACTACCGGTGAAAACTACGAAAAAATTGTATTATTTTTACATTCTGATACAATTTTGATCAAATCCTAATGTTACACAGAAAAATTCAAAAGTAACTATTATTGCACAAATCGCAGAAAACTTATATTTTGTATATTACAAATTAAATGTAATTATCTCAATAGAATCTAGCTAGCAAACACTTTACCCCCATTAAAATTTTATTTTCTCATTAGCATCTTCATTTCAATCTGCGCTTTACATGAGAAACTTCGGCTTCGGTTTTGCTTGAAGCCGTTTTTCTTGTTTTACCATTCCCTTCTACCTAATCGTTTCTTAGGGGTGTATTCTGACAAATCGTTCAGTCTCAATGTTTCTTATCTTCATAAATTGTTCCAATGGATATTTTCTAACAAGCATAAGATTTGCAATCGTCCAGAAGTACAGGAGAACGCACTCATTGATATTTTCTAAAATATTTAGATATTTTTGTCTTTTAACACCATTGACTTCATTTGTATAGCAAACACCCAGAATTTTCAGATAATTAATAAATTTGATATTCCGGATCTTTTTTATTTCCGCAACTGAAAATCTTAGTAGACCAATTCAAATACCATGTTGTTCATTGCAAATCGAGCAAGATGGGGAGGATTATGTACAGAATTATTACCCTGGAATACAATTTAATTAGAATCTTTCTATATGTACTTAAATTAACAGAATTTTCCACAATCTTGTTGAGTGAAGTCAATAGTACATTTGGTATTTAATTTATTTTATTCTTTAACAAACTAGGCGAAGATAACGAAAGGTAAAAGACATTTTAAATGACCTTTCAAAATATCAGAAAATTTAATGAATCATTAAAATGAAAGAGCTTAGCGATGTGATCAATTAGATGTTACATATTATCTTGTTCGTATTAAGAACATGAGACGCAAAATGTCACCAGATAAACGTTAACATACCATTTTTTTCTTTTCTTTTGTTAACTTAAATGAAAAGTAAAATAAATTAAGTTGAAAAACTAGTATAACAAACCTCAATAAAAGTACTGACTTTCGAAAATCGATGACCAATCAGTACAAACTTGTAGTAAATAAACAGTCTTCTCTCCAATTAAGACTCGAATGTTAAAATAAACAACATCAGTTTGTATCAATTGATATTATATTCAGATGAACTAGATTGGGTACCTCAAGTATTTAAAAACCCACGTTGAATGCCATTGAGATTATTTTATGTATTGATCGAGAAATTATTTCGACTAACGTTTCGCTGTTATGTCTTGAATTATTAAACTTCAAAACACGGTAACGTACATCTTGCCAAATATTTGAATATGTGAAAAATGTTTAAAATGACAAAAACTGATAGCGATTGCATGCATTTGCAATAGTCTACGCGCCAAGTTGATTTAATGCAGTTTACTGAGCTGTTACATCTACATATTTAGATACGTTATCATAATTTTCGCAAGTTATATTTTCTTATTTATTACATTACCCTAACGATAGCACAAATTTCGGCAGCTGAATTAATTTGAAACGTTAAAATTAAGCATTTAAGGAGTGTATACCCAATCTACCTTTTGACTTCTTGGTGCTGTTTCCACTTTCAATATCAGAAGGAGCAATGCTGTGAAGGTAGATCCTTATACCGCAGATGCAGATGATTTGCCAATTCATAATATTTCAAATGCTTCCGAAATCAATCAATGCGGTAGATCAAATTGACTTGGATAAATCAAAAAACACAATTAACTTCCCTTCAGCAATTGAATTAGTAGGGACAGGCAGTAAAGAGGGTCTTTACTAAAACTCTCAAAATCCTTGTAACCACTAAATGCGTTTCTTATAAATAATGACCAATAAAACATTTTCATAATTTGGTCATTAATTGGGAGTGTTCAAGACAGCTTACATAGTCATGACATAAGTGATAATCTTCCATGATTAAGTGGGTTCCAGTTGCCAGCCAATTCCCGTTGTTATCACTTTTGAGAATGAAGCGGAGTGTAGACTCTTAAAGGAAGCGTAGTGTGCGTGAACACATATAACGTATGGAGAATAAACAGCTACTATCCTGTGCCACTTATCTTAAATTTCCCATTGTAAAATTAGTTTGCTACAGATGGATTTCATTTGAAAAAATTTAAAGTAAAGTGGGGCTTATATTTGATATTAGTCCCGTCTAGTAGCAAACTGTTTGAAAAATATATAAAACATTAAAATATAGTAAATATTAAACGAAACCTAATTCCAAACAAAGAATTGCAAAATTTTGATTTAAACAAAATGTTTTATTCTATTTATGCAAAGTTTGCCACTTTCCCAACCTGGTTTGCAACTTAGGCTTGACAATGATGTTCGGCGATTTTTTGCAAGTTTTTAAACAAGAAGTGTTGATTTTTTCACTTCATTTCATTCTTAGAATAGAGCAGATAAGACGGCTCCGTTAGCCCTGTTAACGCAATAGGTTTGGATAATATAACAAAAATTTAATTTGCATACAATTTGGAAAAATTTGTAACGTACCTTTACATATGCTTACATTTAGCAGAAAATATATTCGTATAACAGAAAAAATGACAAAGCAAAGTATGTATCCTTCTTTTATAGAAAATGCAAGTAATTATCAAGTTTGTCATCTAAACGTAGATTAATGGTGGATGAGCTAAATTTAAAAATGACCAGAAAATAAGTGAAAATTCCTTAGCCACATATATATTGCAAATTTATTAGAAAAAATTTTAACGATACTCATGCTAAAGAATTCAGCATCTAATTATTCTTTGAAATTAAAATTTATTTTCGATGCCGCTTTTGTTCACAAATTTATTTATATCAAATGGCAGGCGTTTTGGTGATTATCATTAGCCCTTTAGTTGATTTCAGGCTTCACAGAGGGAAGAAACATCAAAGTGAAATAAGTCGAGAGGGGGGGGACAGAAGAGTGTTTCAAAGATGTAAGAGACAGACACAAAGTTGGAAAAAGGCGAGGTGAGTACTATGGAAGTAAGCGAATATGACATACAATGGGGCGATGGTAGTTTGAAGTTAGAAGTCAACTGCCAGTTAATAGACTTTTTAACCATATGAGTATACGTTTGTGGGACACGTCATCGCATGCCTGCACGCCATGATTGGGAGGCGCGACCGTACAAACAGTGACCAATCATTAACCACTGTTTGTTTAACCTGATCCGCCATCCTGATCATGATTAAGCTCCCTGTGTGTACACTTTATCCGCCATATCCGTATTGAATGAACGTGCTCGGTGCTACACGTCTGTTTCCTTTCATAGCTGGGCTATAGCTTAGCTGGTTCTGGGAGTCTAGCTAGATGTAGGAGAATCTGCCACAGAGATTTCTGAGTCAGTCAGGCTTTACTAGCGTAGCAATCCGCTACACGTTGCCCAGGGAGCACCACGTGGAGGTAAGTCTATCGCACACCACATTTTGTTCACAAATAGAGGTTTCAATTTAAGTAAATGCATGTCTAAACGAAATCAAAACTTGAAATAAAAAGCCGTTGTACTCCACCTAACATTAAAATTATATTTGTTTATTTATTTTATAAAAGGCAGATCAATATACAGATTTGAATAAATTTTATCCAAATATTGAGAGTTTAGTCATTTTCCCACACTGAGCATTCTTTACAATATATATTTTAACCCGTAAAAGTGAATGGAGTGTAAACACGCAAGTTAAATAACGATCCAAAATCAATGCTAAAAATNAAAATGCAAATGAAAATCATAATAATACACTAGTTTGGGATTAAAAATGAGAACAGTACCTAACTTTACTAATGCATTTCTCCCTATTTTAGTGCTCCGAAGATGGGGAAGAATGCATGCTTTCAACTCACTGCTGTCCGGGCTCATTTTGTGCTGTTCAAGGTTAATTTTGTTAAATTTATCTAGAATTATTTATAATTAAATGCTCGAAAAAGTTTAACTTTTACTAGAAAGTAGTGAAAATACTTGTAATGTCAAATTCTCAATACGACCCGCACTGATTTGCTTTATATGCATTGCAAAGAGGGTAGGTTGGTCCGTTTTCTCGAGTAAAGTGAATGGAACCTGGCAAAGTTAACAACGATCCAACTTAAAAATGTTAACTATAAAAGAGTAGTTGCGAAGAAGGTAACAACACGAATTTTGGATGATTTTCTTTCTTGGAGTGCCTAGAATAACAAGATTTTCGGTTTTTTAGTTAGTATTCACTCGTTCGCACGTCTGTAAACTACTAAACTTGTAGCGGATTGCTACCTTAGTAAAGCCTGACTGACTCAGAAATCTCTATGGCAGATTCTCCAACATCTAGCTAGACTCCCAGAACTAGCTAAGCTATAGCCCAGCTTTAAAGGAAACAGACGTGTAGCACGGAGCACGTTTGTTCAGTAAGTATATTGCGGATAAGGGGTGTATGATAGACTTACCTCCATGTGGTGCACCCTGGGCAACGTATACTCATACGGCAAAAAAGTCTATTATTCGGCAGTTGACTTCCGACTTCAAAACACTATCACCTCACTGTATGTCATATTCGACTACTTCCACAGTACCCACCTCACCTTTTTTACTCTACCTTTGTGTCTGTCTCTTTTACATCTTTGAAATACTCTTCTGTTCCCCCCTCCCCCTCTCGACTTTTTTTTCACTTTGATGTTCCTTCTTCTCTGTGAAGCCTAAAGTCAACAAAAGGGCTTATGATAACTATCAAAATGCCTACCATTTGATATAAATAAATATTGCGGAGCTACTCATGATCAAGATGGCTGATTAGGTTAAACAAACATAGGTTAATGATTGGTCACTATTTGTACGGTCGTGCATGCAGACTGAATAAACGGACTTTTAAGTAGGGCACAAAAATATCCCTAGATGGAACTTATTTTCTTTTAAAATATAAGTTTATTTTTATTAAATTATCTTTCACAGGGAGCATTGGGACTTGCCTAAGAGAGGAGACAGAATTGACAAGATGTCAGTCTGACGCAGACTGTCCACAGATCAAGTGCTGTCATCATGACCGTTACCGCGCCGAAATAGGTGTATGTGCCTACGTTTGCGGTGACAAGGGTGAAATTCTTGAAGAATCAATACACTCACGGCTTCAACGGTCTGATATTCGAGTAGACAAAAATAGGGAAGATTTTGCAAATTCATTGTGACAAACGACACCTTGGTATACAGCACTATTTGGATTCCGGAATATAGGTGTTTGAACTTACTTCGACTTACGATTTATTGCATCTAATTTTGCTAAATTATTTTACATAAACTAACATTCTTCATTGAAAGCACAATCTGAATCTTATCACCTTTCTATCTTTCGAATTGTTAGGGTGGAGAATTTACTTTGACTTATTTATATTGTTCGAATTGATCTCCTCCGAACACTTCAATGCTTCATACAGAACGACTTAGATCACCACTGGAATTTTAATTTGTAGCTGATTGTTACACTAATAAGCCTTGACTTATGCTCTGTAACTTTGATATCAGGAACTCCTAGTTTTGAATTGTTTTCAGAGTTCGTCAAACTACTCCAAAGCGTTTATTTGGAACGTGTTTTTGATACACAGTTTAGTAACTAAAGTACAATAGAGGGTTTGCTAAAACAGGCAGGGACTATTGATTTTCACTTGGTCGAGAGATCTCTGCGCTTTCGACCGTAAATGCTCCCCACACAACATGTAGCATGAAGCGCCTTTGAATCTGTCGGAGTGTGCATGAGATGTATTTGAACAGCCATGGCAGGTTGTGTCCTCAACAATGGCACCAACCACCCAATTCCATCCGCTAGCAACTGGACTCTGAACATTAAAGTTATTAACCCACTCTCAACCCTAGTAATTACTTACTAAAATTTAAACATTGAAATTTTGAACATGATGCAATGTACCTCGAATATGCCTATTGAATAAAGTAACATTCTGGAAAGTGTGGAATTGATGCTAATTACACTAGGTCAGAAGTGAAGAAACCTCCTAGATACTCAGTTGGTCAATCTTGCAACTGAGCTCCTTACCAGCCCAAATAGACGTGTTCCACATCATTCGTCTGTTTTCTCTATACCGTCGATTGAGTTTGGTTAATCATGGAATTTTTCGGTAACATAAGTAGTTATGTGAGGCATTCCAAAATGGGAGATATTGCCATAGAGACTACTGAACAGAAGCCAGTAATCTACTGCGACATCGATTAGAAACAGTCCTCTTTCCTTAAAACTTTTGAACCAATTCACTTTTGAATATTATCTGATACATGTTATAGACGAATTGAAATAAATATAATTCTTGTGCATATATAAGGTACCATATTATACAAACAGGGTATTCTTAATTAGTATTTTATGCAAAAAAGTAAAATAACATTCGGAGCTCCTAAAAATTGGGTATAAACAATTTATTATTCATAATGTTCGAGGAATTGAGGAATTCGCTTTTTCATAAAAATAAAACATTACTTGTAGAGCGTTTAGCAAAGTTAGGTTTACTTCTGATGTGAAATAAGCTTATCAATGGGTGCTAAATACCCACTTCAATCAATTTAACAACTTTGCAAGACCCAAAACTCAGTGTAATCAGTTCTTCAATAATTAACGGGTGACGAATTCAGAACTTTGAACATGGGAATTTGATTGTGAAGGCGATTTAATTATGATGTTCAAGCAATTGCACTTTCCAATTGAAAAATTAGTTATTTCATCACTTTTATCTGAAACACGCTTTCTCTTTGTTTCACTAAACGTTTTACTTCTATTTCTTGGTAAAGTTGCACATTCCAGCAAATTTCCCAAATGAAAATACTATTAAGTGGTCAGTGAGTTTTACATTGAAAAACCTGGGTTTTTATTTAACATCGTCTAGAGAAAATATCTTGAATTGCATAAGGTTACTAAAGTGGAAATGTATATGGTCGAAGGGTGGGTTTATTTGATCTAAAATGATCTATTGAAGCTTTCTAAAACAGAGTATTATAAGCTTGTTTGAAATAAAATGGTAAAATAAAATTAACCTGGCTTGAGTTCCGTCTAAGATTTCACCGCAAGCTTTTCTAATCTTTATCGGCTAAAGTTAATCGTTTTATATAACTAGATTGCATAAAGCAAATAGATGATAAAGGCGCTGGATTGAGAGAGTTCATTTTTATCTGAATTATGAGTTACATAATATAATTACAACTTATAGACTTCTATAGATTTTGCAAATGGTATATTTTTTACACTTAAAGATTCAAAACCGAAGGTAACCACTATAAATGATAAGTTATAGCTAGAGAGAGTATTAATAGTAGCTTAAGTTAGAATTTTGGGCCGCGAAAGACAAAATGATGTGAAATGACAAAAACGGTAAAAAATCGGCTTTATTGCTTCATCGTTAATTCACCTATTTATTTTGACCAGAGGTAAATGACGAAGTGGATCAAAATATAGATTTTTATAATATCAACTAAAATCAGTTGGCATATTTTGAATATTATAATACATTGAGCATGACCTCTAGTTTGAATTGCAATTAATAAGGCCAAAAGAACAACGACAAGATAATTATTTTTTCCAAGTTCCAGGATAATCATTGATACTTTAATTCGACTAATACGCCCGCGCCGATATTAATAATGCCCTTAGCTTTCTCAACGGTGTCTTTGCGCCGATTTGATGCCTTTGCTAAACCACTTAAGGACTTTCGAATTCAAACAGTTTCTGGAGCATTTCGTATGTTCTATTTTATGATGATCAACCGTTATTTTAGTATCCATAACATGCATAACTATTATCTTTATTTTGTTTGTTTGGGAGTTCACGGATTATTTATCTCCTGCTGTAAAGCAGGAAATTATTGTCGATATATCACGTAATCGTCAGATGTCAATTAATTTTGATATCACATTCCACTACGTGCCTTGCCATGGTAACATAGGTTGCCGCAATTTAACATTTCTTTAGCTCTTTCTGTTGATTCAATGGACATTTCTGGCGAACAACGCTCAGCGATAACACAAGATGTTAATAAGACAAGAATTCTTGCTGATGGAAGTGCCAAACCTAAGGGCAAGTTTTATATACTTGTTATTCTTTCCATAGAATCAGATAACAAAAAAGCGGAGATGCTAAAATTGAAAAGGGTAGGTCATTTAGCAGTCTCTAGTTACTCAGTTTTAGAATGCAAGTTATTGTGGATCGTGCTATGGGGCAAACAAAAATGATACGCAGTAATTTGAGATTATTTAGTTATTTCGCCCTTTTACATCTAGATGTTGCAATACATGTGAAGCGGTTGTGGAAGCTTATCGCATTCGTGGTTGGGGTGTTAAGGATCCACTGACATTTGAACAATGCAAAGATGAAAATGAGGCTGGTAGTTTGGGAGCTATTGGGCAAGAGGGCTGCAGAGTGGTCGGTAAACTTGGAGTCAATAAAGTGGCTGGCGCATTCCATATCGCTCCGGGAAAGAGCTTTGGTGAGGGAAATGTTCATGTTCACGATCTCATCGCATTCGCTGGAAAACAAGTAAATAGCCGTCCATTTTCACATTTAAATTCTCATTAATCGGAAATTTCAGTAAGTAGAGAAAATACATCTGTGATTGACATTTTTAATCTTCGATTTAGCTTTTATTAAATAAAGTCTCGGTAATGGGAAAGTAACTTATTGTATAAGTCAATATCCGTTGGGAGATGATTAGTAATTTACCAGTGTAGATGGGTGATCTGCTTATCTTTACCCCTTTCTACTCATATAACTCACCGATAAAAATAAGAGTATTTGGTTTAAACTTGACATCTTTATGAGACGTATTATAACCTTTCCAACCCCCTTAATGCTGCATGCATTCAGGTGTGATGGAAAATCCTGAACTTTGCTTGTCTTATCCGCATTTACTCTTAAAATGGGGGTTTTAATTTACGCTCATATTCCAAAATTGCATTAATTGTGCTTTATAGCAATGAGCCTCCTAGATTATACCTAATTTTCTTGCGTTATACCTCATAATATTTATATTGTTGAAGTAGACGATTAATTGAACGGCTTCTACTAAAAGGCCGTCCAGTAGTTTAGAGAACAATGATCGGTTACTTTCAGCATAATTGTAGACCATAGAATACTACTGTTTGCTTTATATTAGTAAAAAATCGTTGCATTGAATTGGAGTTTTCTATTACCAACTGATATGCCCCCTACGTTAAACCATTAACGGTAAAAAGGGGAATGTTTAAATGATCAACTACTTCATGCCACTAAAATGCTCTGAGTTGGAAGATGAGAGAGAATAACTGAATTTGTGGGTAAGCGACGGGTCCTTAGTTCATTAAAGGATGAATAGGTCTTAACAATTCGGTAGACTTCAAAACATAGACCGTAGGGTAGTCAGTAATTTGTTAGTCATGTGACCTGGCCTGTCCTTTTGAGCGAAGTCTTGTTATTCGCATTTTTTAACAATTCAGTTGTGGAGAGGTGTTTTCATTTAGCCAAGTATAACGAAGCACACTGAGTTTCCATACCATGGAGAGAGTACTATGAAAAAATACCGACTGAAGTCCCATTAAAATATTTTCCTCTACTGAGTGAGATGTCAAGTTGATCTACGTCTTTATAATTAACTCCATCCGTGCCAGTATACTAATTTGTTTGCCATTTAAGCTTTCGGCATGGTAATAACCACTCTGGTCTTACTGTTCTAAATCCTAGTTTCCCTGCTGAAATATGCTTGTTCCTTAAATTAATGATACTAACCTCTAATACACGCCTTTCCCCTTTCAGTTTAAACTTGATCATCAAATTCATTATTTGAGTTTCGGTGATACTTATCCTGGCCAAATTAATCCTTTGGACAATTCAAATATGACCGAACCCTTTGGTGAGAATTTGTCCTATATTTTTTTTGTGATATTTGGTCCTTATCACTTGTAATTTCTATTCCCACTGACAGCATTTGTTTCCGAGACGCGTACAGAAATAAGCGTCAGAAGAGAGGGAACTCAACCTGGTTTGTGATAATGAAAAGAACCGGGAATGAGTATTCCTACTATATGTGGAATTAACCAATAGGAGCACAAGTTAATGAATGCTTGAAAGCACTTGGAGCAATCACTACATTGATGTTTTCAATTCGATTATTGATCATACCTATTTTCTTAAGTAACATTCGGGGACTGCAAAGTTTGCATCAACTTCGAACTTTTCACTGCGGATTAATCAAATTGATTTTGTCTCCTTAGAATCGTGTGTTGTTTATGGGTATATGTACCAAGTTCTGTGAAATTTATTCTCTGAAGATTAACTGAATGCATGAACATGTTTTAATGTCCACTGACGTTTTCTTGTTCTTTGAAATAGCAACAAAACGAGATTATTAAATAATCCTCAGCTGAGTGACATTACCAACTAACATAAAATCTCCCCTCTAATACGTAATTGTGTTCGCAAAAGTGCTATTTCGTTAGTATATAACACAAAAGTTATATAATGGTCTATTTTTTCTCTTTTTATTTTAGAATCACCAATGATTAACTATTTTCTCAAATTGGTACCGACAATCTACTCGGATTTCTCGGATACTGTTAGTTCTCGAATTTATTTATTTTTTTAAATAAATTTTTATGTAATTGAATCAAGAAGTCAGGTTCGCTTTAGTTTGAGTATCAAATGGTTTAGCATTTTCTCCTTCAAAGAGATGGAACGGATGAATTTGCTAATGATACAGTTAGTTGGATCATGCGTTATTTGGTGATGAGTGTTCTATTATAGAAGTCTTTTAATGGTAACAATTTTCCTAGCCAAATTGATTAGCTTAGCAAATTAATTCTAAAAAATAGTTCATAATATTTGAATGGGGTATAAGGGAACTACCTGTAAGAATAAAAACATGCATTCTTCCCTCTTTCTGATCAGATTAAATTAATTAATTACTTAATTAATTTTGTGGGCTCCGACAAGCATTGATATGCGACCTCTAAATTGTTAGACATTCACATTGACCAGTACACCATCTATACATGGATTATTTTCCTCTACCACCCATTATTAAGGTAAGGGTTTTTTTCACCTCTAACTATGCGGATCAGCAGAAAAATAGAAATAGGCTGCAGAACCTTCTTTACTTTCGATTTCAGTTACATAAGGCAGTCTGTTTTTTCACTTTGTTTATTGGCTTGCTTCATTATGATCTAACTACACAGTCTTTGAACTTCCGAAGCTCCTCCATAATTTTCTGCCTGGTAGTTAAAGTATGCAGCAGTAGAAATCGGTTAACTATTATCTTGATATATCTACAATTAACCGCTACCACTCATAGGAAAATTTCACTATATTTCAGGTACTGTGAATAATAGTTTTTGTGTCCCTTACCGTTCCTACTAATGGCCTTTGTAAAGGTAATTTTATTACACTTATTGATCATTCTGAACTGACAAAAATCTCACTACTGTAACTTACTGGATCACATGCTGATGCAGTAAATACTATGACTTCTTTAAGTCTGCTTGTAGACTAGTTCTATTGATGTCAACTTCGCATGTCGTGTTTTGTAATTTAAAAGTAACTTAAAAGGCTTGTAGTTCAGTTGACGAGTCACACTTATTCACAACTTTTAATATCCATTTTCTTAAACCATCTTGTTATGACTTGCTTTTGGTGAACTTATACAGATGAGATAGGTTCCGTGTGCATACAGAAAGGTAAATTACATATATATTTATTTCAAAAATAGTAAATATAGGATATTACGTGACCCTACGCAGGTGCTCAATATCATTTTCAGTATGATGCAGGACATGGGACCTCCTTTACCGTGGCTACAATAGTTACTTGTCTATAACTGGCATGATCGATTTGTACCGTGAAATCGACCTGTTCTTTCTATATACACTTTAGCCACTTGTGACGAATCAGTACTCGGCTACGTGGCAATTCAAATCGACACCTCTAACAGGTGGATCTGATGGTATTCCTGGTGTCTTCTTCAACTACCAAATTAGCCCCCTCCTCGTGAAGCTTACGAAGGAGCGAAGGCGAATATTTATTTGTTTAAAAAATTTGATTATGATGTTTACACGTGTTGATGGTATGCTATCTTCCATTTTAGATCTTTTCTACATTTTCTGACAAATACATGCGCTATTGTTGGTGGTGTTTATACGGGTGAGAAGTGGTTTTCATTTTTCCAGCCTTCTGCTTACATGATTTTCAATTAATGGGACCGACCTTAAACTTCAGAGTGATTGTTTGCGGGTTTGGCTTAGAAAGAATGGAAATTCCCTGTAGTCTCTGTGATCCAATTTACTAAGTCACTTCTAATTAGACACAAAGCAGATTTTTTATTGGACTCGATCCGAAACTTGAGGCAACCGTTGCTCTCTAACTGACAAGGTTCTATGAACTGTAGTTATTCCCGATCTACACAAACAGTCACTACTGATTATCTAATTAAGCGACAGAAAATTGGTCTCATTTAACTCTATTCCATTAAAGTGGTTATCCAGTTTCTCTTATTCTCGACTTAGAATATTTTATGCTTGTTTGTTTGGCGGACAAGCTCTAGCCAACAAAGACGAATTTTGTGACTGTTTTGAGTTAAATTTTATAGGTGGACTGTATTTTTCATCTTTATCAAGCTTGATGCGAACCGTTATTCTCTAAAATAAGGTCTTGTTTTTAGTTTTAGTGATGTAGCAAAAATTAAATTGCTAAGTGGTGGTTTGTGACCTTGAAGGCATGCAGCACACTATTATCAACAATACTACTTACTTATAAAGTATCAGTAAGCTGTAATACTAACCAAAATTCATCTCGATTTTAGTTGCAAGTCTCCTGGATGCATTTGTCTATCGGTCTTCTTCTATTCTTGCCAAAATGAAATAACTTAGGTTCTTTACTGATATTTACAGGGATTTGCCATAATAAATATTTGTTATTTGTGTGGTAATCTTATTCGTTTTATTTATGTGGATTCTTTAATTTGCATAAAAATGCAAATACTTGGAAAGAACTACTCTTGTTTGGAAAAATTAGTTCTGAATGGTCATACTTTAGCGTGTTTGATCAGTGATAAGCTAGTTTTCATTTTGGTTAGACAATTATTTCAATGAAACTTATTTGTAGGAAGGGAGATCGAAATCTATAAATCTCCTACAACTATAGCGGTGCTAGTTAGTTCATTAATACCCTTAAAGCTTTAATAACAATAAAGATATTATAGTACATACATACATACATATAATACATATTATAGTATTTGCCTAATTTGCAGTTGATAATCTAGCCAAACTGGAAAAGTATTGGTCCCATTTTATTTGTAAAAAGTGAGCGATTCCAACATTTACTTTCTGGCATATAATTAAGTGATAACAAATGAGTTACTATTCTGATCGATTAGATTTGGTTCAAAGTGGTAAATTATATCTGCTATTGGAGTAGATATATTTACTTTATGTATCTCAAATTTGAGGAATGTTCTGGTTATATCTAACAGGATAGTTCTAGTACCTTAATTCTCATATAAACAATTGTAATTGTTGTTAACAAACTTCGTTAACAGTGGATAGGTTCGATGAGGCTTTTTGCCGGCTTTCTCAGTTATTTAGTATGCACAGACGGACAAAGAATTTCTCACTTGGAGTAAGTTGGCAAAAATTTTGTTATTTTTATTTTAACCTCCTTTGACAGTAACGCAGTAAGATCTACAAAATATATATCATGTTGACTAATATTATTTCACAAATATCTGCAGTAAAAGAGAACCGGCTTATTGAAACAATATCCATGACCATCAAACTTTCTCAATCGGCCGACAAGTTATGAGCTTCGAGGGCTTGAAAGCACCAATTAACCCAGGGAGCACATCCTGATGATTGAATTTTTTAAAAATAGGCTATGAAGTAATGAACCAAGTCCGTTCGTTAATATGCCTATCGATTTACTTATGTAAATGGTCATGCTATCTCATTTTATTTGCAACATAGACGCGATAGGTAACATTATGTTAGTAACACTTCACAATTGATTAAAGTTAATGTATTTTGCCATTATAATCAAGGGGTGTGCGATAGACTTACCTTTGTGTCTGTCTCTTTTACATCTTTAAAGCACTCTTCCGTTCACCCCCTCTCGACTTTTTTTTCGATTTGATGTCCCTCTCCCTCTGTGAAGCCTAAAGTCAACTAAAGGGCTAATGATAGAGGTCAACTAAAGGGCTAATGATAACTATCATAAAGCCTGCCATTTGATATAAATAAATACATTATAATCAAGGGCAATTAGTGGAGGAGTTTATTTCGAGATTAATAGCGGTATGCATAAAGAGAGCTCATGCTAGAGAAGTAGTTACCCTACCTCCATATTTTTAAAGCAAGAAATTGCAATTTTGTTAATTGAAAAAGTGGGTTTGAGGCAGTCATGAAAGATCAAAAAAGGCAGTTGGTATGTAATTGTTGCTTTAACTTTGAACGTTGGCCAAGACTACGCCTTATATGCTTGTAAAAATAAAACGAAATCGAATCAAGTGCAATTATACTTAGAATAAAGATTTTTACAGTCTCCCAAATTATAGCCTTGACAACCATGCTTGCCATTAACCTTGACAAATTGGGCAGATCAGAGGAGAGAGTAATTAGACCGCAGTCCATTTGCCTGAATGAAAATTTATTGCTTTGAGGAATTTTAACATAAAGGAAGAATGCTCCAACTACCAACTATAGTTATCATGGGAGTGGCCTATTGTTTCAGTTGATTTTCTCTTGCCGATCAGTCACTCTGAGACTTGAGATGGCCAATTGCCGATGTTATGCAGTAGTGTCTGGGGTAAAATCACCTAAAGGAATGTTTATCGGCGAGCAGAAACCTGGGAATTCCGATGTGATGGATATATAAGTTAATTAATAACCTTTTAACGCGTGTCTCATAGCAGACTGATGCCACCGACGTGATGAGTTTTGGTGGTGTCAGGTGAAGGCTATAGACGTTTTGAAAATATTTCCAACGGCAATAGCGCCTTCTGTTACGAGTCTAGTACCAATGGAACATGTTTTGAAAGGGGACCCTACGGTCTTAAGGGTTAAACCAGAGAGGAGTAATTGGATGCCTGAGAGCACATATGCGATAAGTTTAAGCCGGATTGACTACTTAGATGGAAGTCAAGTTAGCAGTTGGAACCTGAAATTCGTCTAGCAAAAATTTATATATTTGGTTTTACTAAACCTGGGGTGATTTTTTACCATTCTTCAAAATTTTTGAGCGATTGGATTTACCTGAGTTATCTTAGTACGTGATTGGCAGATAAATATTGTATTATCTTGGCTTGAAGCGAGCCTGAGATGAATTGCGATCTAACAAATATTTAATAATACGCCGACTGAATGATAGAACTAGTGAATGAAAATTGGTTTGATTAAACTACGCTTTTACAACCATGAACACAAAGCCACCGGATTTCGACCTAATGACCTACGATTCAACAAATTTTGCGCTTGTTGCCTTTCTTTTGCTGGAAGCATTTTATGATTTTAGTTGTATATTTTTCCGCTTATAAATATGAAGATTTTACTCGTGCACAATTTTATTCCTTTGAAGACGTTTCTAGACGAGTAAAGTTATTTACACATGTTTCACAAAGCCCCTATGATTTGTATTCTTCAAATAATGAATTGGAGAATTGAGTCTAAATATTTTGTCCTCTCAAGAAATATTTGTCGCTTGCGTGAACATGCTCCAAATTTCACTTAATGAAATTAAATCTATATATAAGTCTCAATTTTTAGTACGATATTCTACTAAATTCAAGGTCATTGTGAATTTAATGATAACTATTACTTTTGTAAAGAAAGAAAGACTTTGCTGTTTGGAAGCTCTCGCTGTAGGTCAAATAAGAGGAATAATGCATGTTTTATTAAAATTTCAGAATATGTATTTAATAATTTTTTAAATAAAGATATTATTGGAAAAAATGCTTTTGACAGTTTTATCAAAAATCAAAAAAATTATATCAGGAATTAAATATAATGGTGCCGATATTGAATGATTTGATCGGATGGAATAGCTGGCTTAAATAATTTTAGTATCAGAATTCTGAGATATTTCTTGAGATTGAATAATTAGCGCTTCAGTGTCATAAAATGTAGTAAGAGCTAAGGTTCATAGCTTAGAAATTCGCACTGGAAGTAGACCTTGGGAGTTGGAAGAAATTTTTTTGTTTCTGCTATCTCATATCTCAAAATTCAGTTCTAATAGATTTCATTTGGAGTTATGATCAATGATTGGGGTGTACGATAGACTTACCTCTACGTGATGCACTCTGGGCAACGTATATTTATACGGCAAAAAAGTCTATTAACCGGCAGTTGATTACAGAATTCAAGCTACCATCACCCTACTGTGTGTCATATTCGACTACTTCCATAGTATTCACCTCACCTTTTTTTACCTCTGTATCTGTCTCGTTAACATCTTCGAAACACTCTTCTGTTACTCCCCTCCCCTCTCGACTTTTTCCCTTTGATGTACCTTCCCCCATGTGAAGCCTGAATTAAACTAAAGGGCTAATTATGAATATCAAAACGCCTGCCATTTGATATAAATAAGTGATCAATGATTCCAATTTTTGTACGCAATCAATAGGGAAGGTTCCGTAATAAGAGAAATTCAAAATGCTTACCTGCCAAGCCAGTAGTAACGAGACTGATTCCGTCGTCAGTTTATGATCATAGCTAAAAGTGTGGATTAGTGTCAAGTAACCTGAGGGGAATTTTGATATAAATATCTTATCTGAATGATTTTACTATGTGACTGATCATCCATAAACAAGAGTGAAGTATTCATGATCGCAATGGCCCAAAAATTAACCAATCAGACTGCTAGTTGAAATACAAAAAAATAAAATTAATGAAGTTGAGATATTTAAATTTGGCTATCTATTGCTAATTCTTACTTGGAACAGCAACTTTAGACAACTTTGCAGAACAATCATATATTTTATTCAGAAAAAAATTTTACTTTCAGCATTCTTGATTCGCTTGCACTTTTTATTGGTATGTGTGATTCATTTTAACAATTAAATTCTTTATTCAGAGGAATTACCCGGTTTGGATGAATAAAATACCAAAAAGCGAAAT